CTCGGCAGCAGTCCGACCCCTCCCAGCCAGGTCAGGCCCCGGGGCCCATGCTGCATCCGCCGGGCGGCTTCCCTTGGGGACAGGGCTCGGTTCGTCCAAGCGATCCCTCTCCTCCAGCTGGGCAATTAGCTGTTCTTTGGTGGACCTCCCAATGCGCAGCCCCCTCTGCCTGCACAGCTCCACCAGGTCACTCTTGAGGCGTTTAGCATACATCCTCCTGCTGGCCACACACCGGCCTGTGCTCTCCGCTTTCCACCGTCCCAGGGGAACCCCTAGTGTGCCAGCCCTTCTTCAGGTCACCACCTCTCTGCCAGGGTCGAGCTGCAGACTCCTCCGCCCCGGGACCGCTCGTTGCGATCCCCCAGGGGACCCTGTTACTGCAAAAGTCCTTCTCACTGGTCACACACTCCCAGGGGTTAATCGCCCCCTGAACCGTCTCTCTCTGACTCTTCAGCCCACCTGGTCCCCGTCGATCCCCCTTCGTTTTGCTGCTCCCCAGTCACTTACTGCAGGAAGCGCTGTCCACGGGGTGCAGTAGATCCCACCTCTGCCACCAGTTGTCGCGGAGTGTGGGGGGACTCAGGGCCCTGCACCCCCGGCGTCCTGCGATTCACCATGACTCTCAGCCAGCCAGTAAAGCAGAAGGTTTATTTAGACGTCAGGAATGCAGTCCAAGACAGGTCTTACAGGCGCAGACAACAGGACCCCCCCCAGTTAGGTTCATCTTGGGGTCCCCGGGCACCCTAGCCCCCTTAGGGGATCAGAGCCCTGTCTGCCTTCCAGCCAAGGTCACTAGCCAGCTTCTGACACTCTGCCTTCAGCGACCCCTCCCACAGCCTTTGTTCAGTTTCCCGGGCAAAGGTGTCACCTGGCCTCTAACCCCTTCCTGGGTTCTCATGTTACAGGCTCAGGTATTCTCTGTCGGTCAGTCACCCCTCCCCCAATGCAGACCATCCTAGCCACACTCCCCTGTCAGCACTCACAGACCACTTCAAGAACAGTCCCGGTTCGTCACAGACTCACCACGCTAGCGCCTCCCACTGGCTGTCCCGGGGATTAGCTCTGCTCACCAGTGCGTCGCCTTCTGGTGGTGTCTCGTCGTCGTCACTTCTGCTCAAGGACCCGTGTCATTCCAAGGAGCACGACGTCCTCTCCAGGACACGGCCCACTGGCCGTGCCACACTCTGTGCCCCCCCTTCCGGGGGGCTGCAGTTCGCTATCCAGCCACTTCCCTCAGTGGCAACTGCAGCCTGTGGTCTGGCCACTTCCTCAGTGGCGAGTGGTGGGGGATGACACGCAGGCATGCCCACTACTCCGGGTCCCAGCCCAGGGACCCTGTAGACAGCACCCATGTGCTGCATCCCCTCAGTACTTCTCCCTGGGCCACTTCTCTGCAGAGCCCGCATCTTCTCCACCCTCATCTCCAGGCCTCAGCATGCCAGCCTTTGCAGTGAGCCAGGAGCTCGCTCTCACCCCCTGATCCTGCCCGGCTCTGCTCTGCTCTGTCCAAGGTGCTCACGTTCTTCCTCCTGCAGGGCAGCCAGGCCTCCCTCCTCAAGCCCCAGGGAGCAACTGAACCTGCTCTGCCCTGCAGCTCTTCTTATATGGGCCTGCCCAGCCCTGATTGGCTGCTCCTCGCAGCCCCTCTCCTATTGGCTTCTTTCTGCGCAGCCTCCCTAGGACTCCATTAACTCCTTACTGGCCAGTGTGGGGTGGACGCCCCATCACACCATCTACCACTCCACACACCCATCCCTCCACACACCTGACCCTCTGGCCCCATACACACTCCTCTATGCATCCATCCGGCCCTGCCTCATCTGTCTGTCTCTGGGTATGTCTACACGACAGACTCTGCCAGTGTAACTACGCCAGCGTAGCCCCGTGGTGTAGACGCAGCCTGCGCCGGTGGAAGGGGTTTCTCCATCGGTATGGGGACTTGACCTCCCTGAACGACGGTAGATATGGTGACAGAACCCACCGTCCCTCGGCCTAGCTGGGTCTGCACCGGGGTTTTTGTCACCATAGCTACAGTGGCCGGGGTATTTCACACCCTGACTGTTAGCTGGCTGTGTTGACCTAACATTTAAGTGTAGGCTGGTCCTCTGACTCGCTCTCTCCCCGGCCCCAGACCCTGGTGTACATGTACGGGAACCTGCTGAGCAACGTGGGGGCGGCGGAGAAGGTGTTCGAGTACCTGGACCGGGAGCCGGCCGTGCGCACCGACAGGACGCGGGCGCCGGAGTCGCTGCAGGGACACGTCTCCTTCCACAACGTCTCCTTCTCCTACCCCTCCCGCCCGGACCGCCAGGTCCTAAAGGTACCTACAGCGAGGCGGCTACACCCTACCCCCAGCTACCCCCTACCCCTGGCTCACAGCCCCAGGCCCTTCCCCCTGGGGAGATGATCCCCCTGGCTCCCAGCCCCTCTGATCCCCCTGCGCGACAGGTGTTGCGGAGTGTGGGGGGACACCAGGCTCTGCACCCCCGGCTTCCTGCGATTCGCCATGACTCTCAGCCAGCCAGTAAAGAAGGTTTATTTAGACACCAGGGACACAGTCCAAGACAGGTCTTGCAGGCGCAGACAAGAGGACCCCCCCAGTTAGGTCCATCTTGGGGTCCCAGGGACACCACAGTCCTGTTGGGGGGTGAGAGCCCTGTCCAGGCTCCCCTCCATTACACCAGCTAGCTCCTGACAACTCCAACTCCCTCCAGCTTCTCTCCCCCCAGCCCCTCCCCCAGCCTTTGTCCAGTTTCCAGGGCAGAGGTGTCACCTGGCCCCAGCCCCCTCCTGGGTTCTCACGTTACATGCTCAGGTATCTTCCCTCAAGGCCAGTCTCCCATCCCCCAATGCAGACCGTCCCAGCCAACACTCCCTTGTGCCCTTGTTGCCAAGAAGGCTAATGCCAGCAGATCGAGGGACGTGATCGTTCCCCTTTATTCGACATTGGTGAGGCCTCATCTGGAGTACTGTGTCCAGTTTTGGGCCCCACACTACAAGAAGGATGTGGAAAAATTGGAAAGAGTCCAGCGGAGGGCAACAGAAATCATTAGGGGTCTGGGGCACATGACTTATGAGGAGAGGCTGAGGGAACTGGGATTATTTAGTCTGCAGAAGAGAAGAATGAGGGGGGATTTGATAGCTGCTTTCAACTACCTGAAGGGGGGTTCCAAAGAGGATGGAGCTCGGCTGTTCCCAGTGGTGGCAGATGACAGAACAAGGAGCAATGGTCTCAAGTTGCAGTGGGGGAGGACCAGGTTGGATATTAGGAAACACTTTTTCACTAGGAGGGTGGTGAAGCACTGGAAAATGTTACCTAGGGAGGTGGTGGAATCTCCTTCCTTAGAGGTTTTTAAGGTCAGGCTTGACAAAGCCCTGGCTGGGATGATTTAGTTGGGGTTGGTCCTGCTTTGAGCAGGGGGTTGGACTAGATACCTCCTGAGGTCCCTTCCAACCCTAATCTTCTGTGATTCTATGATTCCCCACTCAGCATTCAAAGACCGCATTAAGAACAGCCCCAGTTCTTCACAGTGGTTCTCAGGTGCCGGACTGGGCCTGGCCCAGCCCCCCCAGAGCCTGTGTCTGAGCCTCTGAGCGAGACTCCCAAGGGGAGATTAGCCCCCTCCACACCTCCTTGCCCTGCCCCACACCTGTCCACACACACTGGTCGCTGCAGCCGGGCCGGTGTAACCAGTACGGTGCGTTGTTCCGCAGGTGGCTGCAGTGAAACACGGCTCGGCTTGTACAGGTGGGGGATGCCTTGCCCGGTGTGAGCACTGTGCTAGCAACACAACCTGTCCTGGCTAGGGGTTGTACCACCTTTCCTCCCCCAACCCAAGCAGTGACGCTGGTGCAAACCCCGTGTGGCTCAGGCCTTAGCGGGTGAAGGTTTATCCCCCCGCGGGCGAGTGTCTGTATGAAACTCCCAAGCAACGCAGAGCCCAGCGCACGTCACACCCCGTATTTACTGGGGTAAGGGACATGACTGGTAAAGGCGCAGAATCACACCCAAACCAGCGCCCTGTGTGAGCTGCCCGTCCCTTGGACCCTGTTAGTGACGGGGGGGGAAAGGCCACACTTGAGGTGCTGCTCTCTGAAGAATTCGTTCTCCCCAACTGGCCACAGTCCTCTAACCCTGAGCCGGGCTGTCAGAGCCCCCAGGCCAGCCCTCCCCCCACATCCTCCATCCCAGCTCCATTACAGGATCAGTCCCAGCCAGGTGGTGACTCTGCAGTGCCCAGGCTGCGTGGCCCCAGGCGGGGCAAACTGGTACTAGAGCCGTGGTGGCCACAGCCTCCTGCATCTCAGCCTGGCTTAGCCCCCATTCAAGGGGCTGCCAGCCCCAGACCCAGCTTAGCCACCCCATTTCCCACCCCTCCACATGCTCCCTGCCCCAGCTGGAGGAGGGGTTCATGGGCTGGCTGCTCAAGGATTCATTTGAACCCCAGTTTAAAGAAAGTGCTTTAGGAAGCCTCCTCACAGGTCTCTAAGGGGTTTAGGAGCACCAGGCTCATTGACGATTCCTGGTAGGAATGCTCCTAAATCCCTTGGGCACTCTTGAAACTCTCCCCGAGTCACAGTCCCTGTAATGTTCCTGACCCGTCATCTCTGCTCTGTATCCGATGAGCGTTCAGCAGGGGCAGCCTGGCCTGTCTCAGTCACCCTGTCACTCAGGGCAGGGTGGCGGCGGCTCTGGACGGCTGCGTCTATTAGGCCCACCCCTGCGTCTAAGGGCCCACCCCTGCCCAACACCCATTATTCACCCCCAAACACGTCCAACCCCCCCAAACCCAACGTGCACGCACCAGCCCCTTCCTGCCAGGCCCCTGCGCTCCCCAGCCCTGCCATACACCCCCCCCATTCCCTGACCCCCCCCCAGACAGAATCCTCCAAACGGGCTGAAGAGAGATTAAAACCCCAAACCTACATTTATTGTGTCCAAATGAAAATCGCCAAAAGATTTACAATTTTACTATTTAAAACAGTTGTTAAAACCTTAAGAAAAAAATTACACGCGTCACACACAAAATCAACCCATTTGGGAGCAGAATTGGCGCCAGCTTAGGCTTTGTCTACACACAAACGTGCACCAGATCAGTTAGGGGACGCTGATTCTGGTAGAAGCAGTGGCTTTTTCTCGTGTCGCTTGAGTCACTTGGGAATCGGTTTAAATCAAAACAAGCCCTGTCTTACACCAGACTAAGAGTGTCCACACAGGGATTTAACGAGCCCACTTCAAACTCACACCTCTTTTGTTACACCAGTGCAAATCGCAATGTAGACAAGGCCTTACCCTGGAGTGACCAGTGCCCTGACAGCAGGATTTAGCCCATTACACAGGAAGCTGCAGCAGCAAAAAGAAGAACATCTTAATCCCTTAATCACCACAGAAACAGAAACCGGGGGCTAAGTTACAATCCAAGCGAACAGAACAGTAGGTGCTGGGTACAGCCCTACACTAACAATTCAGTCCAGCCAACCCTGGTTATTTTTCTATACAAACAAGATCTTCATTGATACAAGTTTTCATTTTTTCAAAACAAGATAGTTCTGTAGAAATCAAATAATAAGCGACCCTGACAATCCCTGGCAGGCTGCAGCCACGGAGGTTTCAATTCTAAAGTGAAAGCTGCAGTTGCTGTCTCACAGGTGGGCGTTTAGCTTGGGTACAATCAAGGCAAAGGGCTTTAAGCAGGCCGTGGAAGGTGCTGATGAGCTGTTGCATTCCCAGGAGCCTGATCTGCTCCGGTCTCTCCTCGCGTCTGGGATCCCCCCAGCCGGCTGCACAGGGGCCGACGGGCTCCGTCACGCTGCAGAAATGAGACAGGGACAGTCAGCGCTGGGGTCGGGGTGAGCAGACACAGCAGGGCCAGGTACGATACTGGGCCCATCTGGCGCTCGGGGTAAAGCTCTGACTGGGCACCACACCCCGCGCCGAGGGGGAGGAGACCGTAAAGCCGATCACCGTCCCACTGAGCTACAGCGATCACTGCTCCCGGTGCAGCATCTGTGACGCATCCCGGCCCCTTCCCCTAGAGCCAGACACACCCCGACCCCCTCCCGGAGTCCCTGCAGCCTGGAACTCCTCCCTGCAGAGGGGAGATGCAGACCCGCCCCCACACTCAGCACCCCCACTGCAGGGAGATCAGGGGCAGGGCTCCCCACGGCTGGCTGGTCAGAGGGGCAGGGCCTGGGGGCCTCCAGGCAGGGGTCTCCCCCCACTGAATCCCCCTGGCTAGTCTCCCCCTCACTTACCCTTGACACGGGTGTCCGATCCCTGGTCGCTTCCTGGGAAGGAGAAGGAGAAGAGGGGTGTTAGTGTTTTGCCCCATATCCCTCGCCTGGCCCCTTGTGTCAGCGTTTACCCTGCTGCAGGGTGGGGGTGACGCTGCCCCAGCCGAGCGGCTGCACTTTGCCCTGGGGCGAGGAACGGCGCAGGGCGAGCCAGCGGGAGTCAGGGCTGGTCACTGCTCCCCGGGGCTGAGATCCCTGCGCCGCCCCCCCCCCGCCTCCCGGGGACTTGGACATACGGGGGTGGGACTCTCAGAAGCACCTTAGTGACTCAGGAGCCCAAACCCCATTGAAATCAGTGGGGATGAGGCTCCTGCATCCCCCCCACTCAGTGTACAACACGTCCCATCGACGCCAAACCCAGCTCCCAGCCACAGCAGGAGGGGGCGGGGCTAGATCCAGGCCAGACACCGCCGGGGCGAAATGCTGCTCCGAGGGGTCAGACGCACCCCAGCCCCATGGGAAACACACACGGCTGGTTGGGCACGAGGTGTGTGCGCCCCCACCGACGTCATAGGCTGCCGCAGGAATTTCATAGCAGCCGAGGGGAGTTGGGTGCTGACACTCCCCTAGGTTCCTTTGAACTCAGCCTAATCAGGGAAAATTGACCAGCAGAGCTATGACTGAATAATTTAGCTCTGCCGGTCAATCTCCCCATGCAGCCAAACCCGCCGTGTCACCGAAACAGCAGGGACCTGCCCCCCCACAGAGGGACCCTGGGGTGCGTTAACACGTCCTGTGCCTCCCCCCGAGGCCTCAGGCCCCAGCACATCCCCTGGGCTAGTGTCACCCGCACGTCACCTACCGGAGCTGGCAGAGCCGTCGTGAGCTGTGGGGGAGAAGGAAGCCGGGGTCAGTGTCTGGTGGAACGAGGGTCCCCGTTCTCCCCGCCCCACACTCGTTATACACGTACACACCCCTGTGACTGATCCAGGTGCTACTGTTCTGCCGTTGGGCCCAGACACCACGGTGATGGGCGACCTACACAGAGCACCCAGGCCCGGGCAGGGCGTTAGTGTCACTGGCCAGTCCCGCTACTGCAGCTCCCCAGCCTCCAAGAGGCCGTGGGGGGCAAGGGGAGGTCTCCTGGGACTGCCCCCAGGCTGTCCCGTACCGGGTCACACAGCGACGGGGACGGGGGAGGGCTCAGCACTTACCTGCAGCCGCTTTGTAGCCGCCGTTCTTCTTCCCTGCAGAGACAAGGCAGATTGGAGTAAGTGCGGCTGCTCCTGGGGCAGGAACTGGTGCTGATCTGTGCCCATGGCCCAGAATCCAGGGGCCCGGCCCATCCCCGGGGCAGGGTGACAGGCTCTGTACGAACCGTTTTCCTCCCTGGGTTTCAGGCTGGTGGCTCCGGCCCAGCCAGGGCCACACAGAGTTTTGGGGGCCTGGGGCAGAGTCTGAGCCCCCCCCCCATTCCAAGGGTGTAAAAACACAGGGGGAGACCCAGATGGTGAGGGGCAGAGAGTGATTCCGCCCCACACTCATGCTGCCTTGGGGGCTCCTGTCCTGGGGGGTGGGCCTGGCTCCCCACTCTGGGCCCTGCGACCTGGCACATGGGGTCACAGCACAGACTCAGGTGTGGGGCTGTGACCCCACGTGCCAGCTCAGCACCGCTCAACTTCTGCGGCTGGGGGGCCCAGAGCAAACTGCCCCTTTGTTCCCCACTGGGCAGCCCTTGGCCCAGCAGCAGAGCGGGGTAGCCACACAGCACTGACGCCAGGGGCTGTAGGGGTGCGTGCCGGGGCCCAGCCAGAGCAGGTCAGCACTCTCCCAGCCTAGGCTCTAGGGTGATGGGCACGTCACCATGGCCTGGCACAGACACCTGGCACTTACTGAGGAAGACAACAGCTCCAGCGATGGCAGCGACCAGCACGAGAACCCCGATAACGACACCCACGATCAGCATCACGTTGGACTTGGGCCCTGAAACGGGAATGGGCCAGTGAGCAGGGGAACCACAAACCCTCTTCCCCTGTTACATGGGTTAGTCACCCCACCCCCCACTGGAGCCCCATAACCCCCCCAACCCCCTCCTCCCATCCCAGGCCAGTCCCCCCTTACCCCAGGGCACTCTCAGATCCTCCACCAGGCTGGGGTGCTCCACACAGCAGGTATAATCGGTCTCACTGCTGGGGTCGATCTCGATGCTGGCCCGGGTCTGGTAGGTCCCGTCCCCGCTGGGAACCACCCCCCATTGGATTGTCTCCTGCGGCACGGCCACCCCCTTCTTCAGCCACACGACGGCCACGTTCCGTGGGTAGAAACCGTGGACCCGGCAGGAGAGGGTGGTGAGACCCCCGTCCCGGCTCGGCCGGTCGCTCACGTGCACCTGCGGTGGCTCTGGGGGGAAAGGAGAGATGGAGTTAGAGGGAACTCCCTGAGCTGGATCCCCTGGGGCGGCAGCAGCTGAGGGGGCTGGCCAGAGGGACGGGAGCTGGTGCAGCCGCGCTCTCATGTCTGGTTCTGATACACGCGGCCGGGGCACGGGCACCCCGAGGGGCTCTGCTCGGCTGGGGGGGCGGTAGGGGGCTGAACAGGGCGGGACGGGACAGGGAGACGAACGGCGGCTCCTGCAGCAACGCTGGGGCCTCGCCCGATGGGGGAACAGAAACGTCCTGCCAGGGACAACGCTCAGCGTGATGGACGTGGGGGAGCGATCTCTGCAGTGGGGATACACCCCGTTCAGTGATCCCCGGGGTCTGATGTGCCCCCCTCACCTCTCCTCTGCAGCGTCTCCTTCCCGTACTCCAGGTACTTCCCCAGCCACTCGATGCACTCCTGATCCAGGTAGCCCTTCCACTGCTGAGCGATGCTCCTCTCAGCCTCCCATTTGTGTTTGGTGACCTGAGCCCCGACATCTGCCGCCACCCAGGTCTCCTGGTCCTTATCCAGGCTGATGAAGTCGCGCCCATCGTAGGCATACTGGCTAAACCCCCCAATGGAGCCGTCATCCCGGAGCTCACAGCCGTACATCAGTTGGAAAGTGTGAAATCCTGAAACACACGGAGCCGGGGCCCAGGGCCCAGGGCTGGGTCAAGGTTTGAGCCACAGGGAGCAGCTACTGCTAGAGATTCTCCAACACCCCCAGCCGCCCTGCGATGGGGGCACCAGCCCGGAGACCCCCTGGGCCTACCACCCCCCGCCCCAGGAAAAGAGCAGTAGAGGTGAGTCCTCCAAGCTGCCTAGAACGGCTGCGGGGAGCAGCCAATCAGGGACCAGCAGGATCACAAAAGAAGGAGCTGCTGGGCAGAGCCCCCCCCTTAACCCTGCCCTGCCTGGAGCAACCGCGCAGGGTCCCTCTGCCCCCCCCCCCGTTCACACCGACCCCACCCCGCAGTGCCCCCGCCCCACACGGGCCCGATGTTCCCAGGATCTACTTGTGCTCCAGGGGCCGCCCAGCGCTCCGGGGCGCGACCACGGCCAAGGAGCAAACTCCGGTGGTTTTGCTCCTTTTCAGACTGGCCGCCGTCTCCCACGGGGCTGGAGCCGCAGGACGCCCTGGGCTAAGGTGGCGGCTGTTTCCCTACAGCCAGGCAGGCGGCAGAGACACGGCCCTTGGCTAAGGCGGCCCCACGTGCCAGGGTTTGCCGGGAACCCAAAGCAGGGCCGCCCTTGGTACATGGCTGCCCCCTGGGCTGTCAGGAGGTGGGGACAGACATGGGGGCGGGAAAGAGAAGCTGGGGGCAGGGAGGGCGACTGGCTCAGCAAACAGAAGCAGGGAGCCTGTGGGTGCAGCAGGGGGGGGGTGAGGGTTGTTATGAGAACAGCCCAGCCGGGGACCCAAACACCCTCGCACGCCCCCATCCCACACAGAGAAAACCACAGTCTGGGCTGCGTGTCCACCAGTGACAGGCGATTTGGGGGAGGGGCCCAGCCTGAGACACCTGGAAAGGGAGAGCCGGGCACCCCCCTCTGTGAACCAGGCCCCTGTAGGGCGTGCAGCCAGCCCCCCACCCCCACGGGTCACTGTGGGGAGTTCAGGCCAAGCCAGTAAGGGCAGCTCAGTGCCTGCTGGGGGCGGGAGCCGACCCCAGTAAACATCCCCACAGCCGGCACCGGCCTGAGCTCAGCGCAGGTTGGACACAATTAGCCCCCGTCTGCACACGAACCCCAGAGGTAGCCAGGGCTGGGCAGGCTGCCGGGTTCTACCTGCTCCCCCCAACACGGCACGTCTCACAGCCCTGGCACCACGGTGCTGGGGCCATGGGAGCAGCAAGATGAGCAAGCTAGAACGCCCCCCCCGCCCCCTCCAGGCACTGGGGGTCCCCGCCTCGCTTTCCTCCCCAGGCTCTCCCCATCCCCCAGGGCTCTCCTCCTGCCTTTTGGATTGATTCCCACCCAGGAGTGTCTCCCCTCCAGCCCCTGCACTGTCCTTCCCCCCAGCTCTGGGCACCCCCCCTTGATGGTGTCCTGTCTCTGCACCCGCTGCCGCCCTACAACAGCCCCTTCCACCAGCCTGCGCCTGCAACTGCTCCCTCTGCCCCCGACCGCAGCCCCCTCCATCCCCTGCCTGCTCTGTCCCACCTGCCTCAGCACCAGCCCCTCTGCACCTTCTGTGTCTTCCCCACCCCAGCTCCTTCTGCATCAGCCCCCTCAGTCCCCCCAACCCAGCTCCTCTCAAGATGCTGCCGTCCTCCATCACTGCTCCCCCCTCCCCCCCAAGTTGGGAGCGGAGCCTCCTGCCCTGCGAGGGAACAGCCTGAGCTGCGTCTGGCTGAGCGTGGCACGGCCGGGACACGCAAGCAGCTGGGGGCCCGGGAAGCTCAGCGCAGACAGGACATGGAGAGGCCGGGGGATGTGGGCCGGGGGGACACAGAATTAATGGATGAGGTTGCTGGGTTTGGGGAGAAGGGGGAAGCTCAGCTCCCATCCGACAGCCCCAGAGCCCTGCAGTGGGGCCAGAACCACCCGACTCTGGGCTAGTTCAGGGGTAGGGGAGCCCTGGGGCTGCGTGCGCATTCCTAGTTACAGTGTGACCCCCACATGCTCTCACACGCCCTGGGGTGGGGGGTGTCCCACAAACGCCTCAGCCATGAGAAGGCAAAACAAACTATCCCCACGTTAGAAAACTGATTCCAATTAACTGACAGTTTCCTCTCAGGGTTATTGGGGCCACAGCTCTGTCCCCCACCCCCAGCCTGCTGCAGCTGCACGGGCAGAACCAGACCCCCAGGGGCGGATCGAGGAGGGCCTGTCCAGCTCAGCTACCGCAGAGCCTGCCTGCGGAGACAGCTCCCCACACACAGGACACCCGCCCCTGTGGGCCGAGAGTCGGGAACGAGCCTCTGGGCGTTACAGGAATAAACGGTGAATTCCTGCTGCAGAGGAATTGGGCTGGATGGACCCGCCCAGGCTGGACGGAGAAGTGCTCCAAACAGGGGGGTCGGGTCGTGGACCTTGTGACTCAGAGAAAGGAAATGGTCCGTCTCCCAGGACACGTTTTCCTTTTCTCTCCCTGCTACACGGGCACAGCCCCGTACCCCAGGGGATTCATAGCAGGGAGCTGCCAGAGCAGGTCCGACAGAACGAGAGCCGGAGTGATCAGCTCCTTCTCTGCTACCGGCAGACCCAGCGCTGGGCCCCCTCCCACCGACACAGCGTGGGCTGGTGCCGGCATGTCCAGCTGGGACACAGTGGGAAGGTCTGAACCGGGCCAGGCAGATCTCACCACACAGGGCAGTACGATCCCGAGGCCCTGGGGCTGCTGCCGCTCTCAGCGAGGGGGTGGATGCTGGGTGCTGGGGCGGCTCTGACTTGTAGGCTGCGGGATGCACCATCTCAGCCCCCCTGGCATGGCAGATTTTGATGCTGTTTGTCCTGTAGCTGTGGGATGGCAGAGAACAAACGGAGCCCTGCCCATGCACAAACCCCGTGTGCAGCGGATGTGGATCTCGAGGGCTCCATGAACACCCAGCGTTCCCAGAGCTCCTCCCTCGGTGAGACGGTGCTGGACAAAAAGGAGGGGAGGTGCCATTCCTTGGGCCCTGGGACAAACAGGGATCATCTCTAGGATAAAAGCCAAGTCTCTGTCTGAACAACCCCCCGATTGCTGGGGGGAAAACGGCTACTAACCTTTCTGTAACCGTTGTCCATCGAGATGTGTTGCACACGTCCATTCCCATGTAGGGGTGTGCGCGCCCCGAGCATCACTGCTGGAATTGTTCCCCTAGTAGTGCTACCTGTCGGGTGGGCTCTGGTGCCCCCTGGTGCCGTGTGCTCATAGTGCCGGTATAAGGGGCCCTGCCAAGCCCACGCCCCTCAGTCCCTTCTTACCAACCACTCTGAGAGCAGGGCTGGGGGGTGGGTGTCGGAATGGACGCGTGAAACTCATCTCGAAGAACCACAGTCACAGAAAGGTCAGTAACTGTCGTTTCTTCGAGCGCTTGCTCGTGACCATTCCGATGTCGGTGACTCACAAGCCGCGGCACCATAGGGGGGCCAGGAGTTCAAGGACAAGCCGGCTACAGCACAGCACGGCTAGAGCGTGCATCGTCCCTGACCTGCTGAGCGACGGCCCAGCACACTGGGAACGTGTGCGCCGAGGAGCAGGTCGCAGCACTGCAGATACTCTGAGCAGGGACTGGAGCTGGAAAGGGCGCTGAAGAGACCTGTGACATGAACAGTGACGTTCGGCAAATGGGGAATCCCAGCGAGGTCAGGACACACCTGGATGCGCGATGGAACCCAAGACAAATCCTCTGAGCGGAGATGGGAGCCCCCTCGTTCTCCCCGCTAGTGCTAGGAAAAGCTTCGGGGATTTACGGGAAGGGTTGTCTCTGAATGTAAAATGCCAGCGCCCGTCTGACCTCCAGCGAGTGCAGGTGCTGTCCTGCCCGGTCTGCGTGCGGCTCAGGGTAAAGGACTGGGAGAAAAATCAGCTGGTTCACGTGGAATTGGGGACCCCACTTTTGGGAGGACCTTTGGATGTGGGCGTAGCTGGACTCTGTCTCTAAAGGAGATCGTGTCCGGGGGCTCCGCGGTGAGGCTCGGATCTCTGACACTCGTCTGGCCGACGGGTTGGGCACTGAAAAGGCCAACTTCCCACAGGGGTGCAGCAGTGAGCATGGTGCTAGCGGCTAGAACGCTGGGCCCATCGGTTTTGTGAGGGCAAGGTTCCGGTCTCAGGGGGGATCAGTTCCTTCATCTGTGGGAAATACCCCCTCCAGGCCTCTGAGGAAACAAATTACCATTTCGTGTGAGAAAATCTTTGGATGGCAGCTGAGACGGCCGCCAGGTGGACTTTGACTGCAGAGAAGGCCAGGCCTTGCTGTGTCAGGGATCGGTTAATCCAGAATGAGCTGCATGAGGACTGCACGGGTGGAACTCCGCGCTGGGTGGAGCACATGGAGAATCGTTTCCACTTTCCCCAGTCAGTCGCCCTGGTGGAGGGTTTCCTACTGCCCAGAACTCTACACGCTGGTTCTGAACAAGCCGCTCCTCGGGGTTTAGCTAGCAAGATTCCAGGCCTGCAGGTGCAGCGAACTAAGGTTTGGGTGGAGCAGCTGGCCATGGTCCTGAACGATCAGGTCCCAGTACAGCGGGAGCCGGATTGGGGCCTCCACCGGAAGCGGTAGGAGCGTGGTACACCAGTGTTGTCCGGGCCATGCTGGGGTTATTGGGATGACCCGAGCTCGGTCCTGCTTGATCTTCGTCAGAACCTTGTGTATCGACGGAATGGGGGGAAGGCGCAGAACAGGTAAGTTGACCATGTCCGCAGGAAGGCGTCCGTAAGGGGCTGTGACCCCTCAGGGAGCAGAGCTGCTGGCGTGGCCTGTTGGCGCGGGTGCAAACAGGTCTATGGGGGGAAATCCCCACCTGTGGAAGGGTCCTGGGCCATATCTGGGGGCAGGGACCACTTGTAGTGAGTGAAGGACCCGCAGAGGCGATCCGCGAGCTGGTTCTGTGCTCCTGGTAGATGAGAGGCGTCGAGGTCGATGGAACGTGCGATGCAGAAACCCCACCAACGAGCTGCCTCCTGGCATTGGGGGGGG